CCATTTAAGCCGTCTCCAGCCATTATTAGTCTCAAAGTGGGTTCCTCGTCATCGAATTTGAATTCTAGTATTTACTTGAGCTCAACGTGATGCGCCCTGTAGCTAAGATCTAAATTAAGGCATTGAAAATATAGCTTAAAGCAGTAGCTTTATGCTTAACAACTTAGTCTTCAAGAAATTAAACCATATATTTTTTAATTTCTTTTCTCCACCAAACGTGAATTTGAATGAAGAAAATATTGTGTATTTATGTTATTAATGGTGAGTAAAAGCTATTGTCAATTGGTGTCATTACACGACGATCAATGGCCGATTCTTTATTTGGTTGCACTGGAAAGCATCTCATTACGATAATAGAAAACGCCCTTGCAATCATTGTAAACGTTGAATATGTCATTCATATTCTCACCTCCTTTTTTGTTTGTTGTTTGCTAGATAAAGAACGAGAATGGCAACTTCAATATTGCTAGATACTACAATTTTTTTAATTTACTTTTACGACGTGTTAAATTATAAATAGATAATTTGCATGCTAAATCAATAGATAAACGACTGTTTAGAGTAACTAAAATTTAATAGGAATCAATATAGAGTTTATGAATAACAACAGCAAAAAAAGGTTCAAATTAAAAATAATATACATGACTTTGTATCTTAATATGAGGTTCTACTTCTTTCACGTACCTATTGACAAAATTTCTAAAAATATGATGTACAAAGTGAGACACTAGAGGGCAGTAGCACCATTGTAGGGCAAAAATCTTAGTGTCAACGAATTGTCAATATAGTAGTGTGAGCCTGAAGTTAAATTTCGTTTTGTATTTTATGTGTTTTTAATATACTCATAATCAATTTCATTGTAGTGAATAGGATGTCACAAGTAAAGTCTACCAAATCAATGTGTTGAATGCACCTTACTTGAACGTCAACACTGGTGACGTAATCAGTACGATTTCATACTACTAACAGTAACATTACTGTTAATATTATTTTGTTAGTATTGCTATTAGTGTAGTAACAATTAACTACTGAACTAGTACAAGGTATAATATAAAAATTCTGAATCAAGTTTAGCTGAGATTTTGGGTTGATAGATTGAGAGAAGTTCAGTTGGACAGTTTTTGTAATGATGCAACACGTCATATTCAGACATAGCTGAGTACTAACACTTACTATATTATACAAATTATATCGTAAATGTAATTTATAAATTGTAGTCTCTATGGGCTCCTAGTGCATGTCTACTAATAATGATATAGTACACTATTATTATTAGTATCACTGAATTAGTTGCTCTATTCATTTAACGCTGATAAAAGCTCTGGAGAATTTCTTTTCAATGTTAAATTATGTATTTTATCAGTTTTATGATTTTTTTATTTAATCGTGTGTTAACATTCAATGCTAGTATAAGACTAAGCCCAAGAGAAAAGCATAACATGTAAATTAAATTTTAATATATTTTTAGTCACATATGAATCATGTGATATACTGTTTGTTTATTTTGATAATTATGTAATGTTATAATTTTCCAACATACTGGTAAAACATGGTATTTTTAACTTTTTATTTATATATATATGTACACACACACATATATTGCCCATTAATGTTTCATAAAGATTTTATTCTGTATATTTACATTTGAATTTTTAGATTCTATGACCCTGAATATTCAATTTTCTGGCTTATTGAAAACTTTCAAACAATACTAGTGAAAAATGTCGCATGTAACCAAAAAGTGGGAGGTGTTACCTGGAAGAAACAAGTTTTGTTGTGATGGCCGTGTCATGATGGCTCGTCAGGTTGGAGTGTTCTACTTCACAGTAGCTTTGATAGTTGTAACATGCACACTTTTTTTTGTGTTTGAGTGAGTATAGTTTTCTGATTTCAAGACCAAGTAAATTTATTGTTGATAAAGTGATATTTATATTTGTGGCTAAGTTTGATAAATAATTGATTATTGTTTTAAAATATTTGTACTTCAGTCTTCATAGATTTAACATTTTCAGTCTATGATGTTAAACTGTGATGAAAGTAAAGTAGCATACTTTGTTCTAATTAAATGAATTTTTAATTAGAGAACATAATGATTATTGTAGCCTTGTCAAAACATCATTTGAAACCAGTTTTTGTGTCTTTACTACAGGAAGGATGATATGTTATATAGAATATAGTGACAGAATGATTTCTTACTCTTAAAAAAGGTTAAAATAAAAACTTCAGTAGTGTTATTAGGGCTAATAGTTTTAAGGTTTGTAAACTTAAGTGCAGACTTAGATAAAGAGAATGTTTTGTTTTCAAATATAGTTATGAACTTATTGAATGATTGATATGAGATTAGTTCATTTAAAATTTTGCTAAATCTATAGATGTAAAGAATCATATTTATGTCAAATTAAAAAATAAGATTACTAATTTGAGTTTGTATTAATTTTTGAATGAAGGGCGGCCCGGCATGGCCAGGGTGCTCGACTCGCAATCTGAGAGTCGCGGGTTCGAATACCCGTCACACCAAACATGCTTGCCCTTTCAGCCGTGGTGGCATTATAAAGTGACGGTCAATCCCACTATTCATTGGTAAAAGAGTAGCCCAAGAGTTGGCGGTGGATGGTGATGACTAGCTGCCTTCCCTCTAGTCTTACACTGCTAAATTAGGAGACGGCTAGTGCAGATAGCTCTCGTGTAGCTTTGCATGAAATTCAAAACAAACCAAAAACAAGTGAATGAAAGAATGGCCTTCATGAACAAATGGTTTCTTGTCACTTTGACTTTTCTTGTTCTATCATTTAAAACTCCAAAGACTTAAAAAATAATAAAGTAAGATTAGGAGAACTTAACTGTACAAGAAGCTGAAGTAATTGTGGATAATTTTAGAAATATATGCACAAGAGAATATGGAATTAAACACAAAAGGCTATCTGTTAAAGGGATTTTAGTTTTTAATGTGTTTATTGTGGAATTTAAATTATTCTTGTATTTACTGTATGGTCATGTACAGTTTTGGCTCACATGATACAAGAAAGATCCCAACTTGTTGAAGTGAGTGCAAAGATAGGACATGAGAGTGATTCCTGGTTTTAGTCTTTACTTATAAACTTCAAAGAGAGGCTTAAAGTTTCAGACTTGTTTCCTGTGAAGTGCAGAATAATTAAGGAAGGACTTATTTCACATGTTATGGATTTAAGCTTTGAAAGTTTAGTTACAGCCTTCTTCATTGAAAAATGTTTTTCTGTCTATAAACATGTGGAATGAATTACCTGGTGTGTTTTTCAATTCTTATGGATAAGCACATGTATATGAACTCAAAAAAGTATGCTTAAATTGGATTTAAATTTTTTCTTTATTTGGATGGTTCTGCCACCTTAACTACTTTTCTGTTATGTTGTGTTTGTGTTTAAAAATCCTACTAGGATTGTTTGTATAAACTTCAGATACTACTTAGTAACTTCAGTGTTGCTCAGTTTATAAAACTGTTTCTTTTACTTGTAGGTCATTATAATAAGTTCAAGATGCAACTTTGTTCTTAAAACTAACCAATACTCAAAATAGTCTTTTTATTAACTCATTCTGTAATCATTCTTAATTGACATTCTGTCTAATCAGAATTAATAAAAAAAATGTATCCCTTAACTGGAACTTAGCATGTCATTGACAAATGTTAAATTTGTTTTCTTGTTCTATTGTCCTCAAAATACACAACAAAGAAATCAGAGGCCTTTGTCATATTGATCCCCTGGATAATTTTTTAAAATTTAATAAGATCACCTTCTAGCCTTTTCTCAAGTGAAAATAAGTTTAGGTTTTAACGTATCCCTATAAGATATTCCTTACAATCCCATAATTAGTTCTAGGAGACCAAAACTGTACACTGTATTCTAAGTCAGGCCTAACTAGTGTTTTGTACAGAGATAATTATTTGATTCGTAATCTTGTTTATAAATACAACCTAAAATTGTTTTAGCTCTACTTTTAGCAACAGAGCACTTTTTAAATGGCTTGAATGATGTTCACAACCTTTGCTTCAGTTGTGTTGTTAAATTAGTTTTCATTGTATATAACATGGTCTAAATTATGATAATCCAAATGCTTTACCTTGCCATTTCTATAATTAAAGTTAATTTGCCAAATATTTCTCCTTTAATAAGTCAACATCCTTAGTTCAGCTAGAAATGCCCAGGAGATCTAATGTCATTAGCAGACTTTACTAATTTTGTTCAAATGGTACTATCAGTATAATTAATGTGCATTAGAAAAATCAAAGGCCTAAGCACTGATACTTGAGGCACTCCACTGATAACAGGGGTCCAGTTTGACTGGACTCCATCAGTAACAACCGTTTGCTTTCCCCCGTCGAACTACATTACAATCCATATAACTAGTCTTCCCTAGCCCGTACTAATGGGATTGATTTTCTTAACTATTTTTTTCTGTTATCTTAACATGATTTTTTTGAAAATCTAAATATATAAAGTCTACACCATTTCTGTTGTCTAGATAACTAGTAACATCCTCAAAAGAGAGAACAGATTAGTAAGACATATTGGCTTTTACTTATATAATATTTTACTAAATTATTTTGTAAAGCTTTTATCAGACTATAGGTTTTTTCCTACTACAGAAGTAAGATTAACTCGCCTATTGTGTAATTTTCATGGCAAATTTTTAAACCTTCTTTACCTCCATAAGCAACTCTCCAATTCTCAGACAACTGTTCACCAAAAATGAAAGAGAGGCTACATATCTGATCTTTGATCTCGTTTAAAACCCTTAAAAAACTTTGTTTTAACCTGGTACCTTATTTCATATCACAGTTTTCAACATAAACCTTGCCAACAGCATTCTTTAAAGATCCAATTATCATATTAACATACTTTGAAAAAATTGGTGTTGTTAGTTTTAATATGAGCCATCCGTTTCTCATTAGCCCATTTTGATTTCCTAATTTTTTTAAACCAAATCTCTAGTCTTCCTGTAGTTACTCTGGTTTTGTATGTTAAATGGCAATGGTTTCCTATGTGTGCATGTCATTTTCATTGCCGGTTTATGAAATTATTTTGAACTGCTGTTTGGATGGCTGATTTTCACTCTATTCTGATACGATATCTTACCTCTTCTCACAAAATAACTTTTCTTGACTAGCACTGCCCTCTATAAGCACAAATTTTCAATGCACACCACTAGCGGTCGACTTTCTGCTTCTGCATATCAACATGCAAATGATCGTGCAGCAGCTCTCTGTCAACAGGAGCACAACACCACTCATATCATAACCAATGCCCACTTCACATCTGCACTCATTAATCACTTTTCGATTGGCAGTAGTACTGTGCAGACATGCTAGTTTGTGCTCATGGATTTGTCAACATTTTCAGTTATACTACTGACTTTGTTTTTTTTTACTATTTGTTTCAATTTTTGTGTTTTGGTATTGTGCAAAGTTGCTTTATTTATTTTTTTTCTCACATTTCAGATGCCTTTTTCCTATTGTATTGTTGGTCCCACTCTGTGACAAGTGGTGCCTGACCAAGTATACTTTTTTTGTTTGAAAATCCACACTGTCCATCATGCGACCATGCTCAGTTACATTGTAGCTCTTCCTTCCATGGACTTGATATATAATTCCAGATGCTGCCATGTGGTGGTTGTGTGCCTCCATTTTTTGTTATCTATAACTAAATAATTTTGTTGCAGGTTTGAGTTATGCACACCATAGAGATGGGGTGTTCCGTAGGAGCTCTAATAATTATCTCTAGTGGTATCTTGCTTTATAAATATGTTCATCCTGGACCGTACATTCGTGGACAAACATGATTAATGGAGACAGAAATTGCTGCCCATCTCTGCTTCTCCATTGTGTTGAGTCTCTTCCTACCTCATTCCTGATGTACAATTCCAGATGTTGCCTGGTTTTGGTGATTGACCCCGACAATGTTGTAGCTCTGCTTTTCGAAATAGGGTTTCATGGTCACCCATTGCACTGTCTTCAGCGGTGCATTCCTCTGAACTCTCCAACACTTCTCCCCCCTTCTTGAAGTGGAATATGAGAGTCCTTAACACTTACCAGTTCCTAGCTGCTGGGATGGTGGACAATGAAAGCCTGTCATTCTGAATGATGCATCATACCACTCAATTGAGAGTAGGGTGGTGGCATTCTGCAGGTGTTGCTGGTGTATAGCACTTCCTACCATGGACCTGATGTACAATTTCAGATGCTGCCAGTTTTTGATTGAAGGACTCTGCCATGTCATAAATATATATACAGAATATATCTATAATTGCAGTTTGCCCCTCAGGGTAAGACATTCCTCCTCCCTACCATCCTATGGACATACATTCCCAGTGGGTCTGGTGTTGGTTGGAGCTGGTCCAGCTAAGTAAGTCCTCACATGTGTACTGACCAGTTGACTGGATGACAAATACCCACTGCTGCCAAGTTTTGGACTGGAGATGCACCCCAGCTTTGCTGTTCCTCTTTCTACCATCTAATGGTTGTTGGTTCCCACCAGATCTGGTGATGGTTGTAGCTGGATGCAGCATGTTTTTCCACATTTGTAGGGCCAGTTATCCTCCTCCTACCATGGACTGGAAGTATTATACCTGTTTCTGTCAAGTTTTGGATTGGAGATGTTATCCTGCTAAGGCTTTCTACTATCTGGTGGATGTCAGTTCTCAACAGATCTGGTGTTGATTTGGTTGGAAATGCACACAAGTAGGGAAAGATTTTGGTAAGGAAGATCGCCTTCCCTGCCAATTCCTGTTTTGAGGTGAAGAGTTAGGTGTTCCTCTCTCTACCACAGAACTGACGTACACTTCCAGATATTGTCTGGTGTTGGTTGAGGTTGGATATCAAACTACCCCCATGGTCTGTTGCACCCTAGCTACTCGACACCCAGGAGTCCCATTCATTGGTCATACATATTTGGGGATTCTTTCATGTTTCCGCTTTTATGATACTGTCAATGATACTGTTACAAAGAGCAAAGAGTATACCTTGACCAGATGTGGTGCAGTCTCCCACTCTGGCTTTTTGATTACACACCTCCTGGTCTCTCTTTGCCCACTTCCTAAAGTTTGGAATTCTAGCTATTTTGTGAGTGGAGGTAAGATATCATATTGGAAGTTAGCATTTTCCAATGATATATGGTGTAAGTTTTCTGACCAATTTCAAAGTGATTAATGAGTGCAGATATGAAGAGGGCGCTGGTTACAATAGGAGTGGTGGCATGCTCCTATTGGTGAAAAGCTGCTGCATGATCATTTGCATGTGGATGTGCAGAAGCGAGAGGTGTAAGGTTAATGTCATGCATTGAAAATTTATGCCAATAGAGGGCAGTGCTAGTCAAGAAAAGATATTTTGTGAGAAGAGGTAAGTATCTATTGGAAATACATTTGGAGTGTAGGAAAATGCTAACCTTCATGTGTTTGTGATGCTAGTGGGAAACAGAGCCTTTAACATCCAATGTTCTCCTGTCAGTAGAACCAATATACTCAATTTTTCAACATAGAGTTATGTTACAAAGGACTTCTGCATAAAGTCAGTTTTGTCCTGGAAATTTAAATGTGTACTTCATTTAAAAAAAACATTTGGTTACAACCATATCCTCATTAGTAGTGATTAATGATAAACCTTCTGGTTTGCTCTATGACTATTTGATATAGGAAACCATCCTGAATCACATCAAGAGAACTCTTTCTACCATATCCTCATTAGTAGTGATTAATGATAAACCTTCTGGTTGGCTCTATGATTATTTGATGGAGGAAACCATCTTGAATCACATCAAGAGAACTCTTTCTACCATATCCTCATTAATAGTGATTAATGATAAACCCTCTGGTTGGCTCTATGACTATTTGATATAGGAAACCATCTTGAATCACATCAAGAGAACTCTTTCTACCATATCCTCATTAGTAGTGATTAATGATAAACCATCTGGTTGGCTCTATGATTATTTGATGGAGGAAACCATCTTGAATCACATCAAGAGAACTCTTTCCACCTCACTATTGGACATCATACAATCCTAAATAATATGTCTAAAAATTGAAGTCTTCTATAATTATTGGTTCAGTGTTCTTCTTGGTCATAACTATGATCTCACTATGCAGTTTTTAATTGGCTTCATCTGTCTGATCTCTTGACATATAACCATTGCCAGATACAAACTTTCTACCCTCAAGACCCATGTTTGTAACCAATGTAGACTCAACTTCTTAACTACAGTTTTGTATGTTTAATCCTAACAGGCTGCAGTTCATTGTGTATATAATATGCTACCCTGCTCATCTTTTAAAGAGCTTATCACTATTAAATAATGTATAACCTGGAATTTCCAAATAACTTCTATTACTAATGTTCACCATTTCAAATAATTTTCCTCTAATTCTCATTATATCATACTCTTATATTTCAACTCACTCATTTTGTTTCCAAACATATCCCATCCAGCTCACCGGTTTCTCTAAACATATCCCACCCAACTTATCTGATACTCTCAACATATCCCATTCAGTTCACCTATTGATGTAAACACATTTCAACCAACTCACCTGTTACTCTAAGCATATCTTATCCAGCTCACCAATTATTCAAAACATATCCTATCCAGCTCACCTGTTACTCTAAACAGTATCCCATCCAGTTCACCTGTTACACCAAACATATCCCATCCAGTCCACCTGTTGATCTAAACACATTTCAACCAACTCACCTGATACTCCAAACATATCCCATCCAGTCCACCTGTTGATGTAAACACATTTCAACCAACTCACCTGATACTCTAAACATATCCCATCCAGTTCACCTGTTACTCCAAACATATCCCTTCCAGTCCACCTGTTGATCTAAACACATTTCAACCAACTCACCTGTTACTCTAAACAATATCCCATCCAGTTCACCTGTTGATCTAAACACATTTCAACCAACTCACCTGATACTCTAAACATATCCCATCCAGTTCACCTGTTACTCCAAACATATCCCATCCAGTCCACTTGTTGATGTAAACACATTTCAACCGACTCACCTGTTACTCTAAGCATATCCCATCCAGCTCACAAATTATTCTAAACATATCCTATCCAGCTCACCTGTTACTCTAAACAATATTCCATCCAGCTCACCTGTTAATACTGAAGGACCACTCAGAATGGAAAAAATGTAAACAAGGTGTTCCAATCATCTGAATGACCACACAGAGTACAAGAAACATACAAAGGGGTTCCAACCATCTGAATTACTACGAAGAATAAAAGATGCACACACAATGTGTTTCAACCATCTGAATCACCACTCGGAATACAAGAAACATACACAAGGTGTTTCAACCATCTAAATGACCACTCAGAATACAAGAAACATACACAAGGTGTTTCAACCATCTAAATGACCATTCAGAATACAAGAAACATACACAAGGTATTTCAACCATCTAAATGACTACTCAGAATAAAAGAAATGTACACAAGGGGTTTTAACCATCTGAATGACCACTAAGAATACAAGAAACATACACAAGGGGTTTCAACCATCTAAATGACTACTCAGAATAAAAGAAATGTACACAAGGGGTTTTAACCATCTAAATGACCACTCAGAATACAAGAAACATACACAAGGTATTTCAACCATCTAAATGACTACTCAGAATAAAAGAAATGTACACAAGGGGTTTTAACCATCTGAATGACCACTCAGAATACAAGAAATTTCACAAGGTGTTTCAACCATCTGAATGACCACTCAGAATACAAGAAACATACACAAGGTGTTTCAACCATCTAAATGACCACTCAGAATACAAGAAACATACACAAGGTATTTCAACCATCTGAATGACCTCTCAGAATACAAGAAACATACACAAGGTGTTTCAACCATCTGAATGACCACTAAGAATAAAATAATCATACACAAGGTGTTTCAACCATCTGAATGACCACTCAGAATACAAGAAACACACACAAGGTATTTCAACCATCTGAATGACTACTCAGAATACAAGAAACATACACAAAGTGATTCAACCATCTGAATGACCACTCAGAATACAAGAAACACACACAAGGTGTTTCAACCATCTGAATGACTACTCAGAATACAAGAAACATACACAAGGTGTTTCAACCATCTGAATGACAACAAAGAATAGAAGAAACTTGCATATACGTACAAAACAAAAATTCCACAAACCTCATACATTTATGTGCTAGCTTAGCTCAATTGAATTTTGCACAACATTTAAGGACTGTGCAGAAAAACTAGGAATTAATTTTAAAAGGGAACTGTTTCATTTTGGTATCCAAAAGTGAGTAGATTTGTCAGTATTGATTTGTACTGAATTTGTTATAATTTCCAACTGATAGTAAAAACAGATATTTTATGGAACAGAAAAAATAAGAGCATTAAAGCTTTTAGTATTTATGTTTAAAAAAGTCATGATTTATGTGCATTTGAGTTGTGAAATTAATAAATAGGTAAAATTCTTTTAAAACAGTTGCCCATTTTTGAGTGAAGAGATTAGTCCAGTGATACCAGTTGTTGCTGGAGTTCTTTTTCTCTTTGTTATGTCTACTCTATTGAGAACAAGTTTCAGTGACCCAGGTGTTATTCCAAGAGCCACAGCTGAAGAGGCTGCTGATATTGAAAGACAAATAGGTGAATATAACATCTTTATTGTTGAAATGTGTTGTTTTCTCAAAATCTAGTATAAAAATGCATTACTAAAATTTGAAAGTGTTCTAAAGAAACTTAATGTGTACTTGACATGTTTGAAAATTTATTGTCAACTTGAATGGCCACAGTTATATATATTGTCACTTAGATACTGTCTTGAATGAAAAAATGACCTCATTGAGCTCCTTCTAATCCTTCAGTTCCATATGTTTTATATATAGTAAATGTTAAAGTGACATCTAATCTTTCAATTCCATGTTTTATGTATAGTAAATGTTAAAGTGACTTCTAATCTTTCAATTCCATATGTTTTATGTATAGTAAATGTTAAAGTGACTTCTAATCTTTCAATTCCATATGTTTTATGTATAACAAATGTTAAAGTGACTTCTTATCTTTCAGTTCCATGTTTTATGTATAGCAAATGTTAAAGTGACTTCTGATCTTTCAATTCCACGTTTTATGTATAGCAAATGTTAAAGTGACTTCTGATCTTTCAATTCCATATGTTTTATGTATAATAAATGTTAAAGTGACTTCTAATCTTTCAATTCCATGTTTTATGTATAGCAAATGTTAAAGTGACTTCTAATCTTTCAATTCCATATGTTTTATGTATAGTAAATGTTAAAGTGACTTCTAATCTTTCAATTCCATATGTTCTATGTATAGTAAATGTTAAA